GCGGTCCTTGAAATTTGCTTAATGTGAGACTTAAACGACATGTCCTGATCAAAGATAACTCCAAGATTCCTCACAGTGGTGCTGGAGGCCAAGGCGATGCCATCCAGGGAAACTATATCTTTAGAACAGCGCTACTTGGATTAGTAACTTTTAATAATATCACTGTTTTGGAACTCTACTAGTCACTGGGAAAAGTAATAATATTACAGTAACCCATTACTAATATATACTGTCAATATTAGTCAGATTGCTTTTACAGTGATGAAGCAAGCCTGATAGTGTTAAGGTTGTGTATTGTGTTCACTGCTGCAGAGGAAATATGAACGCCATCATACAACGTCTGCTACCATACTTCTTAAGTATAGCAGTTGAGACTGCTAGTTACCAGCACCGTACTTTACTTCACTACTCTCTCCAGCACTGCCGCAATGCTAAAAGGAAGTGTGGAGATCTGGTTATATGTTACCTGCTACGAGCCAGGCCAAATTAACCTAAGAAACCAGTACGCAACTATTCAGAGAAGCACTCTTGCTTTCTCCCTTTGTGCATTTGTGGGGTGGTGATCTTGGAAGAATGGTCAAATAATTCCCAGTGGGTACCAAAGCAATATTTATAAATTACTGTCTATACAAGTGGTATTTACAAATTGGTTGGTTTGGCAGCAGACATGTTTTGGCAGCAGTGGCATCAGAGGAATGTTAAGGGGCCCTTAAATTTATTTTACCAGGATATGTCTGTTTGTTTTCCCTAAAGTCACACCAGTTGGACATTTGAGTGCCCCTGTAGGGATGGGTATCACTACTCAACAGCTTTATGGTATCAACAGAAACAGCCCAGTAGCGTGTAGAATCGAAAGGTCTCCTGTCAAACCAATCCATACTTTTTGTAACCAGATCGCGGCATAAAATTACTATTTGTATGGTTTTGCTTTTAGCCAAACACGCAAGCAACACACCGAAAGAAAGAAAAGAGCACGCCTTTTTTTCCTTATGTGCCTGTTTGGCACGCCATTGGCGGTAAATGTTGTCGGTCAGTGTCTAGTCAATGTCTTTGCTACACAAAGGGTTAACAGTCACCGCAAAGTAGTGAGAGAATATCATCACACACACCTGACCGTGACATTGACACCTGTTGCTCTGTGTCCTGCTGCCTCTCTCCCTCTCGCTCAGAGATACTTCGTTCTGTTTGACTGTCTCTCTGCTCCAGAATGCTTAATTCCCTCTAAAGCGGATGTGATCTGCACTTTATCAGCGGTGCTGAAGTGAACATTTGTGTGGAATTGTCGTGATATTTCTGTCTGATCACAAGTGTTTTCAGTTTCGGTTTTCTTCCTCTGATGAAGAGCAGTGCGCTCCTCTCATCCAGTAGGCTACAAGTCAAATTATTTATTAACGGCCCATAAAGCACATCTCTTACAGCACCCACTCCCTCCCCCTCTGCTGGAGCTGTTTCTTGTGGTATGGGCCAAAAATAATAATAATTCGCCAAATGCGCGAAAATAACCGATATATGGATATAAGATAAAGGAGAAAAAAATAAGCTACTGATTACTGCCTTACATTCTATTATATTTTTCTATATCTTTTTATATTCTGAGTTGTCACCTGCCACCTAAATTTTGTCTTTCCCTTTTTAAAAATAAATTAAAAAGAAATTAAATGTTTAATGCTCAAAATCTCCCCTATCAAATATTTCATCAATAAATAATTCTTAACTGAATTCAGATTAATTAAGCTAATTTATCACTGAGGTGAAAAGGTGCCATATGCACATTTGAAAAGACTTTAGGCTACTTCAGGCATGCCTGCATGTAGACTCAGCTGGGGTTAAATTAAATGAGGAAAGTTGATCTACTTGAGAAACGGATCTGACAGCCTTACTGTATTATATTACACTATATTGTTCTTATTTTGAATTGTCACCTGAGACATTTCCTCAATAATTGGTGCAAAGAAATTCACCAGAATGCAGATAAATTAAGTGTTTTAAAGCCCAAATTTTTCAGGGGGAGGACCCCCAGACCCCCTCAATTTAATATCAGTGTTAATTATTATCAATAGTAATTATAAAATTCATAATAAATGTAGGATATATATATAATTTACTCTTGCTTTATAGACGTACTTTGGGTAGGCGGGGTTAAAACATGAAAGATATCTGTGCTGGGCTAAACCCCCAATGTTTAAAGAGCCTGGAAACGCCCCTGTGGATTTTAACCTTCAGCTGCGGTCTCAGGCATGTTCCTCACTGTTGCAGGTTTATCCCTACAAGTTTGGCGTTCCGTTGGTTTCATCTTCTGGTATCATTAGACTCTTCTCTGTACATTTTTATTTGCTATTCACATCACTTGTAACTGATCTATCACTGCATTCTATCTTATCAATTAAATGCTTTAGTAGAGCAGCAGCGATCAGCTGATTTCACTCACGGAGCCTGCAGCTTCAGGTGTAGGTGGTTTGATTGTCTGGTTGCTTTGTTTGTGAGTCTTTAGTGTTGTTAAGTGACTTGTTTAAACAGATTCTTTTTTAGGTCATTTTTGGAGGAGGTTTGCAACTCACCACTAAAGGAAAAAGCACTGCTAGAGATCTTTCAAATCAGTTTATTGCTTGAAAGTTAACAAAATAATTTTCTGTTGTTTACTTTCAACACATGTATCAAAAAATACCTTAAATTCGTTCCCCACAACTTATTTGGTCAATAAACTATTTCACTCCTCCTCTCTCATTCAAATATGAAAATATTCGCTAGCTGTAGTCTTTCCCCGTATAATACTACCCGTGAGGATGAACTAATTAGGATGAGGAGCGATCTGATACAATTTCCCAATACTTTTATGTAACAGTTATTTGAAACAGAAAAAAAATAAAATAAAATAGATAACCTTAACATAAAAAAATAAATAATTATAAGCTACCAATCAACTATGGCTTCAACAGGTGGCAGTTTATGCAAGGTATGGATGAAGTACTCTATTGGCATCAGTATCACTTTAAGGGTACTGGTAGCATTTTAAACGATAACCAACCCTACCCCTCTGGTACCCTAACAGTAACTCTACACAGGTGCTCTAATGCTGCAGAAGCCATGACAAATAACTGGTCTAGTTTGCTTATGGTGTGGAGTGAAGAGGATGTTTTTTGACATTGGGAGTCAGCCAACCTGGTTGTCATGTCTCCCTTGTTCCCTGGAATTAAATTTTTGATCTGTCACATCAGGATTTCCTTCCCTCCCCACAGCCCCTTCTAAGCTCTTTATTAGAGGCTGTCCCAGTGTGGCACAGTGAGCTTGTCACACTGCATGTTGAAATGTGAGAAAAAGTTGTGTTATTGTCCTTTTAAAGAGAGGAATGTTTAAAATTCTCTACAAGGAAAAAGAACATCAATATTAATATCGTCAAATGGCACACTGAAAATAAAAATCTGGAGTGAAGGAGCTTAAATGAAAATGGTCAAAACAGAAAAGCTCAGTATGAAAATAGAAAGGTCCTGTCTATAATGAAAAGGAGATTTTGAAGTTTGACATCATGTTTTACACAATTTAACCCCTCCTGGTCTGTAATTTTTTTAGAGTTTGCTGGCAACTGTGGGTTTGTTATACCTACTTTTCCAGTCAGTCTCCTGCTCTGGGAGGTACCTATGTGTCCAACAACTTTTAGCCCCACCCACCACATTTAAGGCCCAAACCCAGGTATACTGAGGCAACACAAGACTTGTACTTCCTGGCACTAGTGTCTCACAGTTAACCTGTTTCTTTATACCCTCCCCTTATGTGGAGAGCCTTCCACTCTTGTCAAACGCTGATACAGGAGAACACAAGTGATTTGGACCCAAATGCAGGACCCTCAGGGGGAGCAGGTACAGTTTATGGTGTTTAGTAATTAGGTGGGGCAAACGTCCACTGATGGTGAGGTAGGCAAAAGGCAACATTCCAAAATCCATAATCCAAAAGAAATGCAAAATTCCAGGCATGTGTGACAGGCTGGTGCGATTGACAATGAACAAACAAATGAGAAGGGGAAAATATAGAGAAGTGATTAACAAAACACAGGGGGAAACAATCAGAGTGGAGCAAATAAACAAGCAGGAAAACACAAACGCAGGAAGTGAAGTAAATAGAAATAAGAGGAGAGAGGTAAGTAAGTAAAACGGAAAACAGAAAAAAAAATTATAAATTACACTAGGACAGAATAACACAGAAGAAAACACAGACAGGAAGAGACGTAAACACAAGGAAGGGTTTAACAAAAATAAAACAGGAAATAATGCTAAACCCAAAACCATCAACTGCACATTAAAGTCCTACTGGGGCCACAGGGTGTGTGAGGTGGAACAATAGATAAAAATAATGCAGGTTCAATATACTGTAGAGACATTGTGTAATGTACTCTATATGTGAATCTTTTACAGATGTAAATTCCACATGTTAGGGTGTTTATAATTAATACATCTAGCATTAATCTGTACCCTTAACTATTGGGTGTGATATTTACAAATAAGTCATGTATAATGAATGAATGAGAGGGTTGGAGCGGTGTGTACAGCTCTTGCTGTTGCTGTGTCTGTCCTCAGTCACACAGACAGAGGTGTGTAATGGGATTTTCAACTTATGATTTAATATATTTCATCCATAATTTGACAGAGTTGACAGTTGACCACACTAAACGTGTCAGATTATGTGAGCATGGTAGGGGCATTTCTCGTTCAGAATGCAGAATTGCACTTGGGGTGCAATTGCATCGCTCTCGTTCACACAGATCTTTGACAAAAGATTCCATAGAAGGATTAATCATGCAGAGGCCAAGCTATATTTACATAAGTGCTGAAATTTATTATGTTTGAATTTTATGAGGGGTAGCTCATAAGCTCAACTTTGTGGGTTGCGCAGGGAAATGTCCCTACAGGGTCTAGCCTGAAGAACACATCTGATGGTTGACTGAAGTCTTTAATGTCATTTTCCACTATCCAGCTGTCAGAGTCAATGTTTGTTTGTCTCTGTCACAGAGGACCAGATCCCTCATGGTTTCCCCACCATAGACATGGGGCCCCAGCTGAAGGTTGTGGAGAGAACGCGTACAGCTACCATGCTATGTGCAGCCAGCGGCAACCCTGACCCAGAGATTTACTGGTTCAAAGACTTCCTACCTGTGGACATCAGCAGCAGCAACGGACGCATAAAACAGCTGCGTTCAGGTAAAGTGCTCATCTCAACATGTTGACACACAGAATTCTTTTCAGCAAATGTCCGGTTAGCTGCATATTTAGGTGTTGGTGAATGAGGCAACTGGCCTTTAAAAAGCTTGTGAAACTCAAATATGGCACAGGTGGAATTGGGGTGAGATTTGGAGGAAGCCACACATCACGACAATTATAGCATGTATAATGTATAACAATATCTGCATGTTTTGGAAGACAGAACTTGCAAGCTTCACAAATAAGTCATCTATATTTATAGTTATTTCTGCAGGGCTGGGTACCAAACCTCAGTACTTTTTTAACTGAAATGTGTCCATAGATTCCAGTTTCAAACTGTAAAATACCAAATTGTATTTGATAATGCAATGGTATTGTATGCAACAGTTACATTTGAAGAAGTTGGCTTCTTTTGTTAAATGAAAAAATTTAAAATTCTTTTGCTAGAGCTGCAACTTACAATTATTGTTATTGTTTATAAACCTGTCTGGGTTTCATTTTAAAAATAACAAACATTATCAGTTTGCAATTTATCAATTATATATGCTCACATTTCAGAAGCTGGAAATAGTTAATTGTCCCCTTGATTAATTACTACCTCAAAATTATTGTCAATACAATACATACAATATATTTGTTGCTTTAATTAATCAACTGTTTGTATTACTTAAAGTAAGGTATCAAGAAAGAGTTTCAATACAGAAACCCAGGGTTTGTATCAGCATTAGTATTAAAACATTTCAAACTGTCCCCGACCCTAGGAATCACACGGTTAATGTTAAAACATTTTTTATCCTACCTGAGGATATGATTTCAAGCATGATTTATTAAATGTAATTAATCAAACATTTTTTGTCAAGTAGTCAAGTAAATTTTATTTATATAGCCCAATATCACAAATTTGCCTGAGGAGGATTTACAACCTGTAAATACACCCTCTGTGCCCAGACCCTCGAATCAGATCAGGAAAAACTGCCCAAATAACTATCAAGGAGGGAGACCTCTCCCACGACGGACAGATATGCAATAGATATGTGTGTACGGAATATTCTTAACATAAGGAAATGACAAATTATAAATAGATTGTAACATAAATGAAGAAGATGGATCCTGGAGGACATCGAGCAAGAGGAGAAAAGAGGAGAGGCTAAATCTCCTGGAGGACGAGGATCCAGATCCAAAACATCTGGAGAGAGACACTGACAGCAGGAGAAAGAGAGGATGGCTGATGGTCCAGTAGAGAGAAGCTTGAGTGAAAAGAGAGGACACAGAGGAGAAACTAAAGAGAAAGAATGAGAGAGGCACACTGCTATGCTTGTGGGACACAAACAGAGGGTTAAACAGATGCAGTGGTTTCCAGAAGGTTTCCAGTATTCTCGTCGGAAGGACAAACATGGACTATACTAGGCTTAATAGATTAATTGAGACAGAGACCGACCCACCGGAACTGTAACAGCTACAAGGCATCAAAAATAAGCAGCTAAGTGAAAGTTAATGTGAAAAGATTAGTTTTAAGTTTGGATTTAAAGACCCCAACAGAGTTGGACTGTCTGATAATGTTAATGTCGTTATACAACCCTGCTATGCAAAGCTAAGATTGGTGTGATATGATCAAAATAGGATTCGTTAATGTATGAGCGTGACCACAAAACATGAAATAATCAGTTGAATGATCATGTTTTTCTACTATACATGAGGCCATACACTCAGGTTGAGGGGTATCAATGCACAAAAAATAAATGACACCACTTAATATAACAATTTGATGAATTCTGAAAGTTTAAGATCTGAAAATTAATTCTCAAATAGTACAACTGTCAATATTGTTGATAGAAACACTATATGTTTTGAGTAGGACATCATGGATTTCAGTAATTACCTTAGCAGCACCTGTGTGGGACAATTGGCGTACCAACACACTGCAGACAGTGATGAATGTTAAAGCAGAGGCAGCTGTTTGAAGCAGCTCTGTGAGGAGATGGCCAGCAGCTCACAGCAAAGCTGGATGGCTGCTGGCTGAATAACCGAGCTTCATACAACTGGCCAGCTGCCCTTTCTCTCACTTTCTGTGAGAAAATTGAAATGTTTGTTTCTTGCCAAAAGTTGCAAGCACCTACACAATGTTGAAACGGCTGCTCAGGGCCAAACTGTTTTGCCAGCTCTTGAAGCAAGAGTAAGAAACAGTCTTTCCATCACTGAGGGCCTGGGGCCCCTCCTGTGGCTGCACTCATCTCAACACAGGCAGAGAGGAAAGGCTGAGAGACAGGCTCTAGGATCTCATTGGCTTTGAAGTCCACTCTGAGGATTTTCCCAAGTCACAGTCACGGCCTTAGGTAAGGACAAACATGTCATGTATTATTAACCGAACAGCATGGCAATTTGTTTCAATTTGGTTCATAGGGCCCTATCGTCACATGCAGTACCACAGAACCAAGCACAGATGGCTGACTTCCTTAAGAAATCTGAGTTATCCTGTGCCACATAAGGCCTGTGAAATATATAGCTGTGTGTAAAATCAGCACTCCACAATTTTACAATCTATTTGTTTCAATAGAATTCATTATTAGTGAGTGATTGACTGATTAGATTTGTTCATTATTAGTTAGTCCTATTAAATGACTTTGAACCATTAAGAAACATTAATAGCTTCATTTTAACTTCAGAGACGTTTGCCCTCTTTTGGAAAAGGAAAGAAAATCATCTGTCTTCTGGTTACTCTGTTGCTCTGCCAGTAATTATGAAAAAAGCTTGTACATCGAAAAATGATGTGAACCAGACCAGTGATCGACTCTCTAGATCCTCGACCAGCAAGCACTGTGACTGCTTGCCCTGGGATCTGATAACAATGCTGGAGAGAAAAACATCAAGATCCTGATTCAGCAGTGTATACCCTACTCAGAATACCGCCTGCCACTGGAGAGTATTAATTGAGAGTTCCACAGTGTCAGAGCCACCACTTCAAAGATACGGTCACCTTTTGTTGTCAGTCGAGCGTGAGAACCGACCAGTAAACCTGGTCAGAACATCTACTACTTAAGGGTGGAGCAGGTGAGAGAGGTGCCTGACCATGCACAGCTCTATATGTGAAAACAAGAACCTTAAAATGAATTCTGAACCTGACGGGAAGCCGATGTAAAGACGACAGGGTGGGTGTGATGTGAGTTGTTCTCATAGACAGCATAAAAGAAGTAGACATTGTCAATGTGACGTCATCCATTAGTTGATGGACTGCTGTTTTGAAGCCTCGAGTTTGGCCATTTGGCTGTACGTTTTTTTTAGCAACCAGCAGCCCGAACATGACCATATTTAGATGAGACAGTGGCGCTAGCAAGCTTTTTTAACTGTGATTTTAACCGGGATGATAATTTTGGCTAGCTAAAAACAGGCTTAAAACACAACATACTTACTGGTAAATGAACAGCTGAGTCCTAATAAGCTTTTTCAACAGCACTGGTTAAATTTTAAAGAGCACCAGATAGCGGTAGCGACTTCACACAAGGTGTGCCTTGCCCTAAAGCATACGCTGGTCTATTTTCCTCTAAATGGTACCATAATTTAAACTTTAAACTAGCGACTAAGACCATAAATACATTAGGAAAGTGTTTACTGAGGTCATAAATCAGCTGAGAGGTAGAGTCATTTTACCAGTGTTTGTAATGGAACCGGGCTTCTTTTTGAAATCAGAGGAGTCACCACCTGCTAGCTGTTACAAAGAATGCAGGTTTGAGTAACTTCCACAAGGCTTCAGTTTTCAGACCTCAAGGTTCCCTCTTGGCTGTCCTACTAGACCTGTTCTGAACTCAGTTAAATTTTCTTTGTAATAAAGGCAATGAACATGGAGTTTGGTGGGTTTTTAAGGGCGTGGACAGCCAAGTAACACTCCCCATGGCAAGGTTAGTGATGTATAAAATAATTGGAGGTCCCCTTTAACAGCCAATCAGATTTCCATGTGATGGGACTATGTGATTTTTCATTAGTTCTGGGCTGGATTCAATTGATCTCCCATGATGCATAATCAGTTTGATACAGCGACTTGTGTGCAAAGTTAATATGATGATCTGAATTGAAATATGAGGACTGCTAATACATCACTACATCCTTTTTTAAGGATACTACTACAGAAAAAATCTATTCAATCCAGATATTGTGAAAATATAATAAGTTCTATTATTTTTCACAATTGAACCCCAGGACCTGTCATGACACCCTGATTTCATGCTGAAGTTGCGTGGAATTCTTTCAGCTGTCAGACCTCTGTGGAGGGAAGTCATGGCAAGTCTTAGTATTGCCCAGCCCTCTGAAAGCTGCTGATGTCCCCTTCATCAGACCCCAAGGGCCACACAGCTTCCAGTGTCCCCTTTCTGCAATCTCTCACCACCTATCTGACACTTGTTTTTGTTCCTATCAATTCAAGAGCCACTTGGTTGATTATCCAGATCACTGGCATCTGCATAGTAACCATCCCTCTCTCCACCGTTTGCTGCATATGACCTGATATGCCAAAATGGTGCCAGTTACTAATGATCACTTACACAAGGGACATGCAAGATTAAAGAAGGAAACGATACTACTGTGTTACTAGAATGAATAGTATTCGGGCTGAACGATTTAATCATTTATCCCCATTTTAGATTTTTCCATCCTAAAATGAATAGGACATTTACTTCTGGAACCAGGGGACAAGAAATAGCCCATTCAACTTCACAACTGCATTTCAGACTCTCAAATCTTGACAGGCAGATGGAGATGTCACAATCTTCTGCTAAACATTCAAGCATACAATATCCTTATTTAAACTTTGAATCAGGGCATCTGGGATTCTACTATATGGCTCAAGCAGTCTGCTAAAGTGCAGAGCTGTCGGCTCTATTATTATTATTATTAGAGGTTGTCAGTGGATATATAATATTGTTAGGCATGTCTTACTTTAGAGTTGTTATAAAACAATATGCACATAACACACTTGTAGTTTGTCATTATTACCATAAGTGGCTAAGGAT